CTCATTTTTTCACCCATTTACAAAAAAGCATCAGGGTTAAAAATTGCGGTTTTTCCTTTTGACAGGATTTAAAAATTCAAATTAAGAATATGAAACGCTATTTTCTGAGTAAATTTTTCAAACCGGTGATCAGCTTTTCAGGAGAATGTACTGTATGTTATTTTCTTAAAATAATGTGAATCAACTTTTCAAGTTACATTTTTAAATGTTTGGTTCAAAAATATTTTTCGGGAGAAGAAATAATTATTTTGAAACAAAGTAATTTTCAATATCCTAAAATACATGAACATTTTTAGGTTTACTTTAAAAGCATGTTTCACTGACTCCAAAAAGGATCAAATCTGCAGTTTTGGAATGGAAAGAATGCAGGAGTTTTTTCACTTTTTTTTAAATGAATAAAGCGCTGATTATAAATACATGAAGTGATCAAGGGTTTCTTTGAACTGGAAAAACTTTATTGCTGAAAGATTACAAAAATCCCAATTATGAAGTACAGTGGGTCACTGAAAAACAAGACTGAAATGTTGAAAGATGGATTTTAATTGTTATGCAAAACATTATTTCTGTCATTTTTAAAATTGCGAATAATGCACTGTGTGCCAGAAAATTGCGAAACCCCTGATAGACCTGAAAAACTTGTGCAATCAAGTGAGTTATGAGTACAAAAGTGTGAGGTTGATACTGTTTCAGGAAACTGCAGTTTTCCTGAGGGTCACAACTTTTTGAAGTATGCCAATTTTTTTATTTATTCATGAGAATTGTCAACCAATTGATTCTTTTTTTCAACTATGTGATCAAAAATTAGAGGTTTCAAAAAGAAATGTGCTCTCTCTGTCCAGGGAAATATTTCTTGGGTGAAAAAATTCGATGAATCCAATCTTATTTTGTCAAGAGATTCTTGTGCAATTTTTTTTTTGCAATTCTTTGTTGAGTGTGGACTCCTCTACAGAGAATAAGTTGGCCAATGCAGGAGTAACCCTGGACTGGTCAGGTACAGTTCATTTGCTTTATGCATACCCTTTTATACAACCCTCACAAAAATGGCATGACAATTTCTCAAAATGTATTGATACATGGATTTCAATGTCTGTATTCTACATAAACACGTAAGGGTGAGAACATATTCTTGGTTCTTCTTGGAAAGTTTTCACTCAGTGGGTACATTTGCATGTGATTCAAATAACCATATATCAAGTGTCATACATTCATACACATGAATCAGTGGGAAATTGCTGTAAAAAAACAGAATATTGTGCATGAAAATGCCTTTTAACAAGTCCCAGAATGCAAACTTGAGCATCATCATGAGCCCAAGTCTAACCTTTCAGCTATGCAAAACATGTTGAACTTCCCCTAGTCATATTTCACAGCCATATTTAAAATGTAAAATGTCACTGAGATGTGCTCAAAATGCCAGGTGAGTCAAATTATAAATTCTTTGATATTCAAAATGAAGATATGGAAAAATGGAGAGTCCATATTCAAGTATTTGACCCTCTTTGCGGATCTTCATTTTTTTTATTCTGGTCTGCAGAAATCCCTTGGGAGTCTGGTGAGCTCCATTGAGAAATACATTTGAAAACTGTATTAGCTCAACCTGATTATATCTGCAGGCTCTTTATAGAATTGAATGTTTCATTCAATAATACGTGTTACAAAAAGCCATAATATTATAGATTTTTCATTCTGTTAACATGCATTAGTATGCATATTGCATTTTGTCAACAGTTCAATAAAATGAAAATTTGATTAAATGTGTTTTTTGGAATAGATAAATTCTCTGCATGCAACACACAAAAATTCAAAATATTCAGTGATTGAATGCATTGTACTGCTGTTCTACAATTATATCCAATCATCCATACCATATTGGGCCAACCATATTACTTGGCAGGTATCCTTTAATATCCAGATCATGCATTCCATTGTGGATAAAATCATAGCATATTTTTGGTTCTGCATACCATTTGGGGATTACATGCAACCCATTTGGGATGGGATTCCAACCAGCACAAGCTTCACAAGCATCAGTGAGTATTCAAGAAAACTAAATGATACATCATCCATACTCTCACATCACATACACACTATTCACAAGGTACAGTATGCATTCATGGAGTCCATTTCTTACAAAATGCGGTATGGTATCTCAAATTTTGGGAACATTTTTTAGGAAAATTTCTCCAATGTTGTGCTGCCTACATATTTTTTTTTAGATTGAAAATGTGTACATATTCTGCTTGATCATGTATTTTGTTTAATTTCATTTAGATTGCTTTTCTAGAAGCGTATAAGGTATACAATATCTGCCAGCAGAGTATTATTTTTGACAAAGATTTTTTTCAATTTGTTTATGCTAGAAACTAAATTATTGCTGTATTTGAAAGATGTGGTCTACAGTGGCTCTCTTTGTAACATCCCTTGTTGCTTGCCATTTCTCAAGTAATGCTTCTTGATATCTCAGACTGCTTTTGGTAATCATTGAGTATTATGATAATGAGACCCATCTACCTCCGTTACCAGTTTGATTTTGTGGAACTTCAATTTATGTTCCCCATGTTCACACTGCACAGTACAGTAATTCACTTTCATTTTGTATTTCATCAGCTACATTTTTTTAATTCTTGAAATTATCAATCTATGTCTCAGAATGGGTTCTACTTTTGGCCATGTTATCAGTATTCAACCAACAACAGTATTCCAATGTTTAAATAAAAATTCATTGTTTTTTTGTTGCTACCATGATGCAGATACCATTCCACCACCATCACCCAAAAACAGAGATCATAGAGTGAGCACAGTTTTTATTAATATTCATAGAGGAAACTATGCTGAATGTTGAAAACATGCATGAATTATGGTATTTCAATATATCATTTTTGACGTGTTGGAAAAAATATCAATAGCATAATTTTCCAAAGAGGGTTGGTTTTGCCTCTGTAATAGTGTGCAAGTGCCTGATGAACACATGCTTCATCTTTATAACTCTTACTATTTCATAAACTTTCCAAATGCTTGAAAATACTGTACACCTCTGAATAAACCTGAGGAAGATACCTTTTCATTAAAAGAAGAGTTAACCAGTACCAAAAATAAATGAAGCCTTTTAATCAAAAGAAGAGTTAACAAGTACCAAAAAAATAAAACATTTTCATCAAAAGAAGAGTTAACAAGTACCAAAAAAATAGTATAAGCATTAATAATGTTGTGTGTGTGTGGCAATGCATCATTTTTGACTGGTAAGATATAAAATTGCACCAAAGATGGTGACCCAACTCTCATCAAGAATCCTTCATGATGAGGATGGAAACGATGATCAAAATTTTTTGCAAGAAGCAGCTCGCCAAAACGACCGTATATCATTTCAAGGCCATGGATTTTAGCAATTGTATTTTTGCTGCTTGAAACTATCAGCAAAAAAAAAACAAGACGCATGAATATACAGTATAGTGAATTTCTATTATACAGTCAACCCCCGTCTAACGGACTTGATTTGTGCAAGGGGCGAGTCTGTTAGACAAAAAGTCCTTTAAACAAATTCAATTACATAAAAATTAAAAATTTCAATTTTCAACACTAATTTTAAACCAAAAGAAGTCTGTTTGGCGGATTTTGTCTGTTGGGTGGGAGGAAAAACTGCTTGCAGAGCTGGTCTGTTTGGCAAAAATCCCTTACACAGGAGGTCTGTAAGGGGGGGGGGCGGCCACTGTATACAGTAATTGCCATGAACTATCCTGTTATTGGATGATCTCAATATCTCATCAAGTATTATAAGATTCTTGCTACAAATTTGACGTGAAGTCCTAGCTGAGCTTTCAGAATTCTATGTATACAGTATAACAGAAAAAATGTTTTGTAAGACTTGAAAAAAAGGGTTTCAAATAGCACCTCACAGGATTGAACGGGACTTAATTGAAAAGTAGAAAGAATTTCGCAGGCACCTCTCAAAATTTCTACTTTCAAAATAATCATTGATGGCTGAAGACTTTTTTGTTACAAGAAATGCAGAGTGACGAATCACATCCTGATAGTACGTTTTATTGATGGTCAACTTATAACTAATTGGCATGACTTTGAAGTGGAATAAATATTCAAGTATGATCAGCAGACATGGTGGTAATTACACAATGGTGATGAAAACGAATCAATCAAGACATTGTCCGTAAAGAAAAAAAATCTGCTAATGGACTTGGAAGAAATTGAATTTTAGAGAAACTCTCAATTTATACCTGGAAAATGCATTTTCTGAATAACGTCATTAATGGTAACGTCATTAATGGTTGGATGATGAAACAGTATCAATGCTAGAAAAGAAAAATTTTGAGAAACTTTTGAATATGTTCATTTAACCGATGCAAATGTGTTGAAAATCGTGGATCTGAATTATTTGATTATCTTATTTTGAGAAAATATGCTCAGGATGGTTTCCTCAAAATTTTGAACGATTTTCTGAGATGACAAATTGTGTCCAATTCACTTTCAAAGCGTCTTTTACAACCAAATTTTGCAGTACTGTGCGGTTCGAAAAAAAAAATCCATCAAAATTGGTTCAGTATCGTGTTTTCTCGTCGATTATTTATTTAGTGATTTAAAATTAGCGCGGAGTTTGTCTGATCGGGTTTCTTCTGTGGGCTGCAGTTGTTACTCTATCCGTCCCCCAGTAAACTGCTTGTTTTCGGTTTATGCTACGTCAGACAGGTGTCGCTCAAATCGAAACATTGATGAGAGACGCCGAAATATCGGAAGAATTTCACGCATATTGGATCTGTTTCCAATGATTGAATCGCTGACAACGTAATCTAATCATTTTAATGCGTGTAAATAAAGTTCTGCGATTTATTTTCGAATACCTGGTTATTATATTTAAACTGTCTGGCCCGTAGTTTCGTCTGAATACGTATAAATTGAGTTTCCATAACAAAAACCGGAATATGGCAAGAGATGGATCAGCAGACGGTATTCCTAATCGTAAATATTTAGCGTAACTCATGCTTGAATTNTCAGTTGGGTTCAGCACCATTGAGCAGGGTTCACATCCAGTCATTTGTGGACCAACACTTTGACCCACCTGGGTCAGAGTTGGAAATCTGGACCCCACCAGATTGGAAACCCACGTGAGTCTAATTTTATAACTTTTTCATCATCATTATTTATGACCTGTCCCATTGTGTGGTACAGTGAAATAAAATTACAACAAAGCTGTTGGGCCAAGGAAAAAAATCTTAGCGAAATTCATCATGTAAAAAATTTGAATACAGTATCATTGCCTGTATTGCTATTGAGCAGGGACCTGATGGGAAGGGCTGTGCTGTTACCCATACTTTGTTTTTAAAAGATTTGTTGTAATGGGATTTTACTGTATTTAAAACATGGAATACAGCAATTGGAAAAAGGCTGGATTTTTGATGATGAGACTCAAAAGAGAGACTAAGTTTTGAAAAGCCAAAAAAGGCTTGCAAAGCAACTACAGTAAAGTCTTGTTACAACAAACTTGTGGGGACTTCAGAAAAAGTTATTCTATAACAAATCATCTATTATAACAATATTTTTGAAATTGTTGACTGACTGGAAGCTTTAAAAAAAAAATTAAACCTGCATATGCACTCAACATCTTTCTTTTGTGACCTTTTTCAGCTGTTTTCAGCATTCAAAAGCTGTGATCTTCAACAAGAAGTTTAAAATTTTGATAATAACAAGCATTTACTCTGAATAACATCAATACCAGCTTTTCAAAGCAATTCTTGTACAGATTTGTAAGGGTGGATGTTCCAGAAAAGCTTAAAATTTGCAAGCATCAGCACAGGGTTTCTGAAGCATTTGTTGGATTTTATTCATGTATGCCCCCTCCCCCCATACTTCCTAACCCATCAGGAAGCAATTTTGAAAGGGAAATTGTTCCAGTGGAATTTGAATAATTTTTACCCTTGAATCCACCTTATGTCCCAAGAACTAGTTGCTGTCACACTTTGAATGGGAAATTTTAGACTGTCTGCCTTCATTGGGGATTTTTCATTAAGAAATCACTACATGTTCCTAAAAAAAGTTTGTTATACTGGAATTGGTGATTTTGTTATCACAAGATTTTTATGACATGTACCCTAAAGCTTGAAAAAATTTTGATTTATAATGAAAAATTTGTTGCAACAGTATTTGTTGTCATGAGATTCTTCTGTATGAGGATGAGAATTTCAGAGGTCAGTCCATTCATGTGAGGTTCAGAAATAATGTGTTCTGTTTTCTTTTCTGCCAGGCCAAAGTTTTTGGACGACATAAAAAACCAAGAAATGAGAGAATTTGCTGCAGAACTTCACAACCTGTGGAAGCAGTTGGGAAGGAAGGTGAAGGACACTGTCCGGGACAATGCTGACCGCTATTCCATTCTTTATGTACCACATGGTACCATGGTTCCTGGGGGCAGATTCCGGGAATTCTATTACTGGTGAGGTTTCTTTTTTTAAATCAGGAAATTCAACGTAAGTGTGCCTTTTCCAATGCCAAGAGCACCTTTTCTTTCAAATTTATGCGGGAAAAATGAGGATGTTGTCATTTTTTAAATAAATAAATACACATTTATTGGATGTTTTTCAAATTTTAGAAGTTTATATCTGTGTGTTGAACTTGATTCTGATGGAAAATTTTGGCATTATATATAGTTTCTGCTCTAGTTAATTTTCCAGAACAGGTGGAAGTTTAAGGCATATCAGATGGACTCTCTACAACGATTTTCTCTGTATACAGAATTTTTTGGTGGTCGCAAAGGGGGTTTTCTCTGCTTGCTATTTGAATTCTCCAAAAATAAATTCTCTCTGCTATTTTTTTTATTGAATTTTGTTGTAGAGACTGTCCACATGTTATCCTCATTTTAAGGAGTTGTTCATAGTCAACTGTTGAAAGTGAAGCAGCAATAACTTTGCTTGTTTTTTTCTTATTTTTGTCTCCCTTTTTTGCCAAATATGGGCACATTCTATATGGATTTTTTTTTTGCGCAGAAAATTTCCAATTATTAACGCTGAGAAAATTATTTTCATTTCTTGAGGACTTTCTTCAATTTTTTTTTAAGCATGAGAAATGTAAAATCAGTTCTTGAAGTCTGATGAAAAGAATATGTGGTCCGATTTGTGGATTTTTCCAATTATGAATGCAGTTTTGACAATGAATTACTGCATGTCGACATTTTGTAATTTGCCCTTTTATATCATAAACTTTTTTTTTAATGATGCAGGGACACTTATTGGGTGGTTAAGGCACTGCTCATCAGTGGAATGTCGGAAACTGTGAAAGGAATGCTGATCAATTTCGTGGAAATGCAGCGGAAATTCGGCTACATTCCAAACGGAGGCCGGAAGTATTTCGCACGTCGAAGCCAACCTCCATATTTCATCCCGATGGTCAACGAATATGTATGAAAGGAATGCTGATCAATTTCGTGGAAATGCAGCGGAAATTCGGCTACATTCCAAACGGAGGCCGGAAGTATTTCGCACGTCGAAGCCAACCTCCATATTTCATCCCGATGGTCAACGAATATGTGTCTGCCACTGGTGATTTGGAATTCCTCAGGTATTCATTTATTTTATACAGTGCTTGTTTTTCAATGTTGACGATGTACCAAAAACTTGTACATTTCCTGAAGGACTGTACAGTAGTTTTAAATTCCACATTTAAAAAATTTTCGAAACGCCGGCCTAATTTTCTTAGTACAGTATATTCAGTATATGCCAAAAAAATTGAGGAGACGTCATGTGCAAAAATTACTGGCCACAGAACTTTCTTTGGCATATTTTTTTATACCTCACCGGAATGAGTGAGTTGAAAAAAAAATCATTGAAATTTATTTGTGCAAGATCTAAACTTGAGCTAGAAAACAACTTATTTGCAAATAATATACTGCATATATGCTATGCCTAATTTTTGTAGTTTTCATTGCACTAAAAACAATTTTAAAACACGGAATCCCTTTTTCCAGAGCACTTTTAGACTTTTAGGAACACAGAAGGTTTTACACTGTGGTCTGATTTCTTGCAGAACATTTTAAATGCTTTTTTTCATGCAAAAACATGGATTCTTTCTTTGGATTTCAGTATACTTCATATAATAAAGAAAACGAACTTCAAAAACACTGAATTCAGAAACTGTTTTGCTCCCAAAAACCATTTCATTAGCATGGTTTTCTTAATTCTTTTAAGTGAAATAGTCATTGAAATTAATTTCTTGGTGATACAGGTGGTACCTTGCAATTCAACCCTAATCCATTGCCAAACTAGGGTCATATTGTAAAGCAGGCAAATTTCAAGACTTTTTCTGAAATTCAAACATATATCAATGCAAAAATGCAAAACAATTAAATTGCCAAAGCAGGTTGAATATAGTGGGACAGGGGTCAAATAGCAAGTCAATTACCTCCCTGCAAATTTGAACATCAAATTTCAGAACGGTCAAATTGTGGGAGGTCAAATTGCAAGGTACCACTTTTATAGAGGTTTGGAAGTATACTATCTACTTTTTATTGCAAAATGTGCCTCTCTTTTTTCTTGAAGGCATGCCAATAATTAACCATCACCCCCTTCAAACTTGTCAAAACCCTCACAATTGATGGATGTAGGTGCTTTATTTTGGTTGGAATGATTTAAAAGTCAATTTAAATTTGCACAGAAAATCAGCAGACACCAGAACTAAAGTCCACTCTTGCACATTTTGATTCTCACCTGGATTCACTATAAAATTTCTGATCCTTTTCATTCCAACTTCACAATTTAAAACTTGTTTTTGAATGCACTATTTTTCTGTCTTGAAAAAAAACAGGGAGAATATGGACGCCATGGAAGAGGAATACGCCTTTTGGCACAATCAGCGCTCAACAACAATCGTGGTGAACGGCAAGGAGCACTTGGTAACACTGTACAACGTGTCTGTGGCTGGACCTCGTCCAGAGTCATACACAGAAGACAAAGTAATGGCCAACGTTTTCAAGTCAGAAGCCCAGAAACAGGATTTTTACGCTGAAATCAAGTCAGCTTGCGAATCTGGATGGGATTTCAGCTCTCGTTGGTTTGACCATTTTGGCCAAGATGGAGGTTCGTTTTCTCATACATGATGCTATGCATGTCTGCAGTGCCTGAGTTATTGTCAAAATAATTTTTAAAAGGAGTTGAAACAAAAAGAATATATATACAACAGTCCTGTGCCTCTTTTAGAAGGCAATTACAGATATATACAGTGAGACCCCCACATGCGGACGCCTCGACATGGGGACAATTCGACATGGGGACATTTATTTTTTAACAAAAAATCATAAAAAAGACCCGACATGAAGACACTGACTCAACCTGGGGACATTGCAGGATAAAATTCCAAAATAAATTATAGGAAAATCTATTTTATAAGGCTTAATTGCAAGAAACAGATGTTTCCAACCTAAGATCTATATGCAAGAAAAATTCTTTGGTACTTTTCCCATCATTTTCCCATCCATTCAGCTAATTTCAAAAATGCCCTATAGCACAGAGGGACTTCCTTCTAGTTCTCTTTGTGACATGGATGTTATTTTTCCAGATGCCAATTTTTCAATTTACTGTACAGAGGTACACTATTTGTTCAATGTTCCAAATGTTCTTATTTGTTTGAAAATATATTCATTGAATCAAATTCAAGTGGCAAAATTTTTTTTCATGAAATTCTGAAGAATATTTCTTTCATATAACACCAATTAAAAATTGTACAATGTAAGTCTATGGGAAAACAAGATTTGACTTGGGGACAATTCAACATATA